AATCTGGCTCCATTTTAGTTCATTGATCTTGTATCCCATTTTTCATTGATTCTTATAAAATTTATTGACTGTCTTTTCTACCTTGACACTGTAAATGTGCATTTGCCAACCACATACGATATTAAAACTCACTTATTGAACACTCACATTGCCAGGAAATGCTGTGAGTGACTTTCGTAAACTCACTTCTTAAATCCTCAAACAACCTTCTGAGCTTCATACTTCTATGGAATAATTAGCTCCATTTCTTAGATGAGGAAAGCAAGGCAGAGAGAGTAGAAATTCTTTGGCCGAGAATACCTAGTTGGAACCTAGAAGAGTCTGCATCTCAACCTCTACTCTATATTGCCTCTGGTAGGAAGTAGACTTTGTATCTTCAGGCACATCATGGTTTTCAATCTTCTCATGTGTGCCAATGTTCCAGTTTGAAACAACTACACTTTTATCTGCCTAGATGATTATTTCTTACTGTGGATATTCAAAACAGACACTAATCTGCTAATCCAAGGTGAAGCCATCTCTGACACTCCTACTCACTGTGATCTCTCCTCCTGCTAGCTCAGAGCATTTCATGTTWGCATCATTCAGTTCAAATTCAAGCACACACAATTTTCTGATATTTTGCTTTGTTTAACTCTCTGATATACTGCAAGTTCAAGGAAGACCAAGCAAACTGGTATATTTCTGCATGTCATTCATGTATGTAGCACAGGATTGTGTATGTAGTATGTATTTACAAATGTTCCTTGAATGATGTTAAGCTCAGTCTCCAAAGGAAGCTTTTCCATTAGTGATTATACCTGGCCACAAAATTATGCCTGGCTATTAGCACTTAGTAACAGTGTTGTCTTTATGTTTACTCTTTTATCAGAATGTCTTTCCTCCTCCCCTCTCCTCAGACTTGATTAACTTTTACTTATCTCCTAAGGCTTAATGTAGTTCTCATATTTCCAAGAAGCCTCCCATGACATGGATTTCCAGTTGGTCATAGGTTGTCTTTTGTATTTCCATAACATCTGATTTATTCTTCTCTGTCACATGTCTACTGAAGTTTTTGACTTCAGTATCTGGTTTTACTTCTCTAGACTGTGAACTTCTGGAGGACAAGGATTGTATCTTACTTAGTTTATGTTCCTACTGCTTAGCACAATGCAGGTATATAGAAAATGATCCATGAATATTGACAAATGAATGAATGAATGAAAACAAAGAAATACTAATATGTTTTTAACAGACTGCATGATGAGAAGTAAGATACAGAATGTATCCATGGAAACAATATAAAAATATCAGTAGTTCTATTTCACAGTTAGCCAAAAGCTTCCTTATCAGCATGAAATAGTTAAAACCATAGTATATATCTGTAAATCCAACTTAATTTTTTGACGGGGAGGGATGCTGGAGATTGAACCCAGGGCATTGCTCGTGCCATCCAAGTGTTTGACCACTGATCTGAACTCACAGCTCCCACTTTAATTTTGAAATCTTACAGTGTACTAGAAGTTGCCACCTAGAAAATTATACTTCCAATTCACTAACATCCTGTGCATTATGCCAGTTAATTCTGGTGATTGGGATTGTATCTCTGGCAAGCCAGCTTAGCTCTATTCCACAAATGGTTTGCCTTCAAATCATGCAGGGGCCATTTACTTCCTCACTCTATTCTTAGTCAGGATTGAAAGGGTGGCAAGCATTTCTCCAGYGTCTACTTCATGAGTTGGATATTTTCCAATTGCTAGTGAGGGGGAGACAAATCTAGAAGATATTTCCAAGCATGAGGTGTGATCGTCTCAATTAATATACTTACTGTGCTGACAGCTCTGGCCCAAACCACCTTCTATCCTACTTGGGGACTGTCCATTGTTCTCTAGTGTATGATTAGCAGATTAGCTATCATGTAAGAAGCCAGGAAAATGAACTCCCAGTAAGCCCTTCCAAAGCAAGAGTAATTCATTACCCAGCCTGATTTCCACTTAAAATGTACTTTAAGCACACTTCCAACTACAAACCCTAAATCATCCTGTGTTCACAAAGTCCATCATTTTTTATTTTATTGCATGGCGTTGGTGTGACATAATCCCTTGCAGAGCATCTCGGAGTGCTTTACAGATCAATAAATTACTTACCTGCACAGTTGAAGCAATGTCTGCAAGGCCAGGGCTGACATTTTGCAGGCAGCCTGTCCTCCAGGAAGCAAGTAAGGCTGTGTAAGTGCCAAGAATGGGCAGAAACAGAGACCAGAAAAATGTCTGAGCAGGGGGAATAGTGCATGAGAAGGGAATGCTCCAGATAAAGCTCTGTGAATAAAATACATCAGGGTTTTTTTTTTTTCTGCAAGATCAGTTTAAATTATTCTAGAACTAAAAGAATTTAGAAATTTGGGRCTGGGGTTGTGGCTTAATGGTAGAGCACTTGCCTAGCCCTAGCACGTGTGAGGCCCTRGTTTGATCCTCAGTACCACATATAAATAAATATAAGAAAAAGAACCATTTACAACTAAAAAAATAAAAATAAAGAATTTAGAAATTTGTAACTGTCAGAAAATCAGAAATCCAACACTCAGTCATTAACTCATCAATTTTCTGTCTTAGAAGGTCCAATTGAGCTTTTAAAATGATATAATCATAAATTACAATATTACATCTTTTAAGAGACCCACTTTGAAAAGAGTCTATCTCCAACCCTCAGCACATCCATTTTTCATTAATTTCTGTTCCACCAAATATCTTCTGAAAGTTCAAGCACATCTTTGTGCATACACATGCATACACTCCTGTGTACACATGTATATATGCACACTGTCTGTATATGAAGCTAGTTGTGGAATTTAAGTCTAATACTAATTAATCAGGGCTTACCCTATGCAAAATACCCTATTCAAGACAGCAGAAAATTAAGCAATGAATAAAACCTTTATTTAACATTTTCTATTTAGATAATTTATCGTATAGAAAGAAGGGTRAGACAAATGGAACATAAGGAAGTTTATTTTGAATGCCATAAGGAAGACACTTCAATGCTAAGGAATCCCTAGATGCCCTGGAAGATTATATGGAAGGGGTAGTAGTTCAATCAGGACATGAATAATTTTAATACATGTAGTCAGAGAGAAGCATGTTAGTGCTCACATGCAAGGCAAGGGACAAGAAGACCAAAGTGAACCACATGCTGTGAACCATGAGAACTCTCATTTGGGTATAGGACATAAACAGAAGGAAATGATGGAGGAGGGACAGAAAGAGCACTGAGAGAACTTATCTTTGCAATATCCCATTTTCTTGTTGGCAAAGTTCTAACATAAGTAGAAATGGGTAAGTAATGTTTCAACTAGAGCTGAGACCACCATTAGGGTTTCCAGAGCAAACTGATTTTATTAAGTGTGTAGTTTTGAAACAAGAAATAAAGTCATCATGGAGCTTCCCTGAGTTCTCCAGTGAATCATGTTGTCTACTGGGAATGCCATATGCCATGGAATTGCTGAGAGTGGTGACTCTGAGGAATATTGATTCAAGGAAAGAATATAACACAAGGAAACATAAGAGCATTTGATGGAAAGGTCACTTAATTGGTCCAGAACTAAAGTGTCAATCCTGTGTTGGTATGACTGAAATAAAGTGTGATAATGATCCATCTCTGAGTCTTTTAGGAATATGAAGCAGGTTGGGAAATTTTTTCCCTTGAGTAGCCATTATAATTCAATCCTATAAATATTTGTAAAGCTTTTACTGTGAATACAACAGGAGGAAGACATGGTTCAGACCACCAGAAAACTCATGGTCTACTTGATGCTAAGCAAATATCTAGAACAGTGGGAAAAGTGTCTACAAGTGGCATTTGGGGAGTCAATAAATGGAATTCTTAATTTACTTGACTTATAAACTATTTCACACATTTAGACAAATGAGCAGTCATATGGAAAACCAAATATCACACTGACTAGGAGTAAAGCTGATCCTGCACAAGGCTCAGAAGTGTAGCAGAAAATGAACTTCTAAGAAAGGGCCTCAGAATGAGACCAACATACACAGACAATGGCTAGTACTTACCCTGTTCCTGTGGACTGCTGCTTCCTAATAAAAAGAGTAGGAGTAGCACAATAGCCTGACTCCAAAACAAAAGACCAAGAAAGTAAGAGCCCTGTTTCCAGCTTCATTCATTCGGATGAACTTTTCTTCTCTTTGGGGAGATTAATTTAGGGGAGAGAGAGAGATACTAAGCAAGTTTGTTAACAGYAATGATATCTTTGATTCTTCATTGAGGGTTTATGAAGTTTAATAGAAGAGTGGGCAAAGAAACAACATTAAATTTGAGTTGTTAAGGAGGTCAAAGATGTGTAGAGGTAGTGATGGCTGTGACAAAGAGAGTGACATTTGAATTGGACCATAAAGTATTACTGGGAGTTGTCCAGGAAGGCTGTAAGAAATGCCATAGATACACATGCATGAGGATCAGAAAGGATGTGATGTATTGGGGRTCAGCAAATGAGTAAGAAAAGGTGGAACCACTAGAAATGATAATGGAAACATATGTTGAAACTTGGTTCTGAACAGCTAAGTTTGCTTGGGTAAGGAGCCTGTTTATGATCAGGTAGGCAATGGAGCAATTCAAGCTATTTAGGCAGAGATGTGTTATGATCAGAACTGCATTATGTAAAGACATCTCTGAATGCAGTGAGACAAATGGTTCTTGGATATGTGTTGGAGATGGGTGGGGGTGAGAGTGAGATGGGAAGGTGTAGGCTAGAAAAGTAGTTATTGCAGTATTACAGTGGAATTTATTCTCATTTGGACTCTGGCTTTATGTTTAAATAGGAGGAAATGGAAGTTAAATTCAAGGTAAGCCATTTTTTATGTTTAAGATCATTCCTCTAATTGCTTAGCATTACAACTACAGTCCATATGTTTCAGTTTGGGGAATATTCTATCAAGTGTCATTTTAAGACAACAAAGAAATGTGTCAGATGGATTTTCATGTTTCTTCTACCTGTTTTGTCTCCATAGTGTCCCCCAAAATTGTAGAGATTTCTTCAGATATCTCCATTAATGAAGGAAACAATATCAGCCTCACCTGTATAGCCACAGGTAGACCGGAGCCTACAGTTACCTGGAGACACATCTCCCCCAAAGGTAAGAGGAGCAGTTTGGTGCATTGTATCTTGAGAGGAAATGGGAGACTTGTTGGATATGGACAGGAGGTTATGGTGCTAGATACTGAGTGCAAGGGTGTCAGTTTCTGGTACCCAGCTAATAATGCACTCTTGGYTCTGCAGAGGATATTGGTCTGCAAGGCAGCCATGTCCTTCAAGATTTTAGAAATCATACTTGAGTATCTCTCCAGGCCCCTGGGAAATTGATTCCAGTTGTCTGTGGCTGAAATAGTGGTTCACATGTCCTGGGTTAAATTTATATGTCAAGTTTGATGATGGAAGGATTTGCTTTGGTGGCATTATTCTTTCAGCTAGTTGCTTTAAGAGAAAGGAAAACATGAACACATAATGATAGATGAGAGGTTTAAATGGCCACATTCCTAAAAGGAAAATCTGCTTGTTTGTGTCTCTTCAGAATTGCCAAAAATCTGGTCATTAGTTGTTTTYGTGGTTTTGTTGTTGCTTTACTCTGACTGATCCTAGACAACAACTATAACAATATGTGGCTAAATTACAAAATTCATTTTATYTCAATGTTTAGATAATTAAGCTAATTTTTCTCTGGGAGCAAGGAATATAAAAGCATTTCACTAAATCTTAAATATTTACTGAGTATTACAGTGGTCTATGCTCTGTTTTAGGCACTAGAGGATTAAATCATAAACCCAAATTGACAAATTACTGTTCTCATCAAATCACATTTTATGTGATAGATTACCAAAACAAATGAGTAGACAATATACCAGGTGCTGATAAGGATGAGAAGATAGAGACATACATTGACAGAATGGCAAGGGGTTCCAGCAAGGAAGTGTTAAATCTGAGCCAAGACTTGAACAAAGATCTTTAATTCTATTTTTTTGTATCACTGGTTAGTGTGAAATGTATGTATATAATCACAGATATCTATCTGTGTATGCACGCTTTGCATAGTACCGGTTTAAGAATTGCAGAAGTACCATGGAGGATATTTTCTTGTCGCAGATTGAGAACCCCAAAAGCAAACCTTGAGATTGTTATTGTTGGTAAGTAATCATTTTGGGAGGTGCTCTTGGGATCAACTCTTGTGGAAAGGGAGAGACGGAAGCAAGATTGGGCAGAAGGACAAGTTGAGTTGTGATGCGGTTCAATGGAACATCTCAGCTGCCCCTATGGGGAATCCTAAAGCTAGGACACCTTTTAGAAATATCCTCTATTGAGGCAATGGAGCTGGCTCTTTACAGCAGCACAGCAGTGGGGTGTTGAATGTAGGCTATTCCTAAAAGGGCTGTAACCTTAGGCCAGGTGTCTGACTGAAAGCAAGCCAAACCCCATTATGAACTAAAAATTTAGGACTGTCAACCAGCAGTTAGTTCTTCTCCGGGACATGGGTCCTCAATTCCTGAAGGTGACATCACTTTATACTCGGACATTTTAAAAATCTAGAGTAGAACTGCAGTGATTTCCGCATACTGAATATCCTTTCTCTGACAGTAACAGTATGCTATGATAGATGTTCTCAGAGAAGGTGAGAAGATTTCAGTTTGGGTTGTCCTGAATTCTTGAGTGTTGTCCTATGCCACCATTCCTGATGATATTACTGTGAACAAAGGGATTGGTGAGAGCTACTCATGTCTCTGCCAATCTTTCCATTGGAAATGACCTTATGTGTGGATGGGCCCAAAATCTGGGAGGATGCTCAGCTGTGCATGAGGTCATTAAGGATAAAGAAGGGCCTCAGGGCACTTCTGAAGAAGGGGCCATCCAAATGGTCTGACTTTCTGAGTCCATAGTGCACACCATTCATCACAGCTTAATGCCGAGTCCCTTGTGCTATGGGATGCCAGGGCAGGCTGTGCCTGTGGAATCAGCAGAACATTTATCATTTGGATAGACTTCCTCTGCCTCATGCTAAGAGACTCTGTCTCCTGTCTGATGTCTTTTTCAACCCATCCTCAGGCTAGTCAGTTCTTTGTCCTTGTCTCGGTGTCTGCCACATCTCTTTCACACATCTCCTTGTGCCCTGCCCTTTCATGCCTATGTCTCCCCTATAGTTTTTGTTCTGTACCTCTCTTTACTCTCTCAGCTGCCTACATTTTTCTGCTTTAATTTCATTCCTTTGCACTTTTTTTTTCTTTCCTCTCTTCCTCTGTTCCATCCACCACCTTCTCTCTTCCTTATGGTCTCATGTTATCTCTCCTCAGTATTGAGCCTCTTTCCTTCATCTTACAGATATTCATGCTGTTTTGTCTTGAGGTCTTTTTTTGTCCCCTGTTGTAGACAACTAGCAGATTTCCTTCCCAAGGGGACTTTCACCTGAGCCTGGGCCAGATGCTGCCATTTTACTGAGGTTTTAGCTACTATGGAAACAGAAGATGGATCAAGGGGAGAGGAACTGAGTGATCAGAATCTATCTGCAGCTTAGAGTAATTTAGATGGACAGCTTTGTCCAGATACTGGGCCCAGATTAGCTATCCAAGATTCAGGATGATGAGACTTGCCAAGCAACAAGGAATCACCTCAGAACTCACCAGGGCACAGTGTTTCCTGTGACTGATTATTTAGAGATCAGAGATGTCATTGGGCTGCTGCCAAATCTGAACTGAAGCTGGAGACCCTTAGCAGTCAGGCCTTCATCTTTCATCACTAAATATTTCCAAGATAGCGCTTACTTTAAATAAATTAAGACATGTATGGGGTTCTTTTTTTTTGTTGTTGTTGTTTTTTTTTTCTTTGTTTTTGTTTTTATTTATATATGACAGCAGAATGTATTACAATTCTTAATACATATATAGAGCACAATTTTTCATATCTCTGGTTGTATACAAAGTATNTAAACCCAAATTGACAAATTACTGTTCTCATCAAATCACATTTTATGTGATAGATTACCAAAACAAATGAGTAGACAATATACCAGGTGCTGATAAGGATGAGAAGATAGAGACATACATTGACAGAATGGCAAGGGGTTCCAGCAAGGAAGTGTTAAATCTGAGCCAAGACTTGAACAAAGATCTTTAATTCTATTTTTTTGTATCACTGGTTAGTGTGAAATGTATGTATATAATCACAGATATCTATCTGTGTATGCACGCTTTGCATAGTACCGGTTTAAGAATTGCAGAAGTACCATGGAGGATATTTTCTTGTCGCAGATTGAGAACCCCAAAAGCAAACCTTGAGATTGTTATTGTTGGTAAGTAATCATTTTGGGAGGTGCTCTTGGGATCAACTCTTGTGGAAAGGGAGAGACGGAAGCAAGATTGGGCAGAAGGACAAGTTGAGTTGTGATGCGGTTCAATGGAACATCTCAGCTGCCCCTATGGGGAATCCTAAAGCTAGGACACCTTTTAGAAATATCCTCTATTGAGGCAATGGAGCTGGCTCTTTACAGCAGCACAGCAGTGGGGTGTTGAATGTAGGCTATTCCTAAAAGGGCTGTAACCTTAGGCCAGGTGTCTGACTGAAAGCAAGCCAAACCCCATTATGAACTAAAAATTTAGGACTGTCAACCAGCAGTTAGTTCTTCTCCGGGACATGGGTCCTCAATTCCTGAAGGTGACATCACTTTATACTCGGACATTTTAAAAATCTAGAGTAGAACTGCAGTGATTTCCGCATACTGAATATCCTTTCTCTGACAGTAACAGTATGCTATGATAGATGTTCTCAGAGAAGGTGAGAAGATTTCAGTTTGGGTTGTCCTGAATTCTTGAGTGTTGTCCTATGCCACCATTCCTGATGATATTACTGTGAACAAAGGGATTGGTGAGAGCTACTCATGTCTCTGCCAATCTTTCCATTGGAAATGACCTTATGTGTGGATGGGCCCAAAATCTGGGAGGATGCTCAGCTGTGCATGAGGTCATTAAGGATAAAGAAGGGCCTCAGGGCACTTCTGAAGAAGGGGCCATCCAAATGGTCTGACTTTCTGAGTCCATAGTGCACACCATTCATCACAGCTTAATGCCGAGTCCCTTGTGCTATGGGATGCCAGGGCAGGCTGTGCCTGTGGAATCAGCAGAACATTTATCATTTGGATAGACTTCCTCTGCCTCATGCTAAGAGACTCTGTCTCCTGTCTGATGTCTTTTTCAACCCATCCTCAGGCTAGTCAGTTCTTTGTCCTTGTCTCGGTGTCTGCCACATCTCTTTCACACATCTCCTTGTGCCCTGCCCTTTCATGCCTATGTCTCCCCTATAGTTTTTGTTCTGTACCTCTCTTTACTCTCTCAGCTGCCTACATTTTTCTGCTTTAATTTCATTCCTTTGCACTTTTTTTTTCTTTCCTCTCTTCCTCTGTTCCATCCACCACCTTCTCTCTTCCTTATGGTCTCATGTTATCTCTCCTCAGTATTGAGCCTCTTTCCTTCATCTTACAGATATTCATGCTGTTTTGTCTTGAGGTCTTTTTTTGTCCCCTGTTGTAGACAACTAGCAGATTTCCTTCCCAAGGGGACTTTCACCTGAGCCTGGGCCAGATGCTGCCATTTTACTGAGGTTTTAGCTACTATGGAAACAGAAGATGGATCAAGGGGAGAGGAACTGAGTGATCAGAATCTATCTGCAGCTTAGAGTAATTTAGATGGACAGCTTTGTCCAGATACTGGGCCCAGATTAGCTATCCAAGATTCAGGATGATGAGACTTGCCAAGCAACAAGGAATCACCTCAGAACTCACCAGGGCACAGTGTTTCCTGTGACTGATTATTTAGAGATCAGAGATGTCATTGGGCTGCTGCCAAATCTGAACTGAAGCTGGAGACCCTTAGCAGTCAGGCCTTCATCTTTCATCACTAAATATTTCCAAGATAGCGCTTACTTTAAATAAATTAAGACATGTATGGGGTTCTTTGGAGTGAAGGATATTTACCTTCAGCAAGGCTCCAAAGGCAGAGAGCTACTGTCATCTTTTGTCTCATTTTGTGAAGGTAGATTGTGGTTCAGTCAAGATCATTTTTACACACACACTAAATTCTTGAATGAATATCTGATTGG